TGCGCAGGCCGACGAAGACGAGAAATTTGGCACACTACATCCGTTGTTATCAATATGATAGATCGTTTTATTTGATCAACAACATTTCAATTCTGAAAATCAGAAATAAAAAACCATTTTAAAGTTGACATTCTGTCATTCATAAGATACATCAAAGATGCTAAGACATAAAGATATGCATCAAAAGCATAATGACACATTAAGACATAAAGAATATGCATTAAAGATACATAAACTCCAGATTAAAAACCGAATGTCAGAAATTAACTTACTACTGTGATCGGTATGATAATTTTAAACAGTTAACAGTTCAGAAGTCTTTGGCTAGCTCATTTCACAGCGGTTAGCATCATTCACACATTCGCAGTCCACAGGGTGCACGATTCCATAATATCATCACATAACAATAGGCTAATATCTCCTGTTAACAGGTATTTTCCGGCCTTTTAGTTCGCCGTAAACATACATCAACTGCAAGCTAACCTTGCCATATTTGGAACTCTACCTAGCTCTAACAGCGCCCTCTATAACTTCTTAACAAAAATGCAGGTTCCACGTTAAACAATAATGATGATTGACAAGCACCACCAGCAGCAGATCCACCAGGAACCGAGCAGCAGCGGTTCACGAGGAGCAGGAGCGCGACCGGAAAATCCTTCTCTGCTGAGCTCGCCAAGCATCTGAAGCTTGCCAAGACGTTTGGCATCGTCGTCGGCCGCCTTTGGTGGTGCTTGTCAATCATCATTATGTAAGCGTAGATGGAGATGATGGCGACGCCACACGTACCAATGACTAGAGAGCCACAGATAATAGCTGTTCTACTCGTGACGGTGTCATACATGCACGGTTGATCCGGCTGCCAGCGGTTGCCAATGAGAGTCATCACGCTTGCGAAGAAGGCAAAGCTCCAAGCGAGGACTACCATTACTAAGATAACGCGCGGTGTGACGATCTGGTAGTAGAGTAGCGGTCGGGATATTGCAATGTACCTGTCTACGTTGATGGCAATGAGCGAGTTTGTTGATGCAAGTCCCGAGAGCGTACCCAAACTGAAGTGTCCAAGGCATATGATCTTTGGCGGGAATTCGATTAGAAAGGTCGTTGGTGATACGAAGGTTCCTTGCACGCCCATGAGAAAATCGGCGACAGCCAAGTTTGCGATCAGCGTGTGTGCCGGCTCCTGCAGGTGTGATGTCCGTGTCACAGCCAAGATGACGAGAAGATTAGCAAGTATGCTGATCATGTTGACAGGAATCAGCAGGTTAGCGATCCACGCTTGAACTGCTGGGACTGCGCCCTGTTCAATATCCGACTCCATGCAGCCGATCCAGCTCCCATTCTCGGACACGGACCCGGAGATGTTGCACAGTGAACCATTAGATGTCGCCATGATGCAGAAATAACGCTCACTACGCCAGCTCCGCAACACTAATGGCGTGCCTCTGCTGCTTCGCATTCATTTTATGTCTTTTATACGTAATAATGTCTCGCCATCTCTCTCTCAGCAATTCTATTTCTGAACTCTAATTTTATCTCGTAGGGTTGTTACGATACTATGCTACATAATTAAATATACATAATTTATTATATTACGTCGTTTAACCCTTAGATTTTCCTCAGAAACGCTTCCTTCGTATTCCCGAATCATTTAACTAGCGTGATGCGGGGTATTGTTGTACCTAAATACTTGGACGTATCGGATGAAGATATCAGTCGCACTGCCCCATCCAATGAAAGGGACATTTGCAGCTGGCGCGTGCATAGCTTAGTCTGTCCGCAGCTGTCAACCCTCCGCCACGAGAAAGCATGAATCTTGGCAATAGTCTTTACTAATATAAAACCTGGTGGCAAGCTATGCGATATAAACATTTTCCTCATTTAAGTAAGCTTCACAACATGAATAGAAAGCAAGTTTGATACATTAATGCGCCAATTGATTTTGCGCTAACGAAGTATTAGCAAAACTCTCTGAGAAGATTGTAAACCATATTTAACGGCACATTACACGTTAAATATTGTCCAACGCGTTGGCAACACTGCCCCGACCCCCGCCCGAAACTCAGCTAACGTGAAAACTAAATCCATCTACCTGCTTAAACACTTAATCGAACGGATGAAACAGTCGCGATGATTCCAGTAAGGTTGGACAGTAGCCACGTCTCTAGTGTCCACGCGAGGGCAACACCGCCCGGAAGGCGGTGCGGAACTGACTGCTCTTTGAAGCATATATTAAGAAGTTCATGCAAGAGTTTGAGTATGCCAGCAGGTAGCCGAGGCCTCGCGCCACGCCGACCGTGTCGTGGTAGACGTCGGCAACGCTCAGCAGCATCATGATGAAATACGGAGCCCAGCAAACGAAGAAAGCTATCTGTGCTGATGGATGTCGTTCTATCTATCCGACGGTGTGATGTAATGGACAGGACGTATCGCGATGCTGGAAAATGCTCACTATTGTCTACCGCCGCGCTTTATATATTTATATATATATATATGCACTTCATCATTGACCTTGTTGGTAACTACAGGGGTTTGCTAAAGCTAGCTATCTACTCGTGTAGGCTCCTGTTGAGGCTACAGAGGTAGACAGGTGGATGATTGCTACTGGAGGGAAGAGTCGTGGAAGCAGGAAAGAGAAAGTAGACACGGGGAAATAATGGGTGCAGAGCGGAATATAATAATAATAATAATAATAATAATAATAATAATAATAATAATGATAACAATAATAGAAGTTAAAGAAGGGGAAACGAGACAGTAGCGAAGCAATAATCGCTAACAACTAAAATAGGCCTATTGTGAGTTACGATAGGCCTACTACAATTATAGTGTATATTTTCCCAGTAAAGCAGCGAGCGCGTTACAATTGTTTTCGATTGTCTTTACAATTCGATTGACTTTTTTGTTTACAATTGTCTATTTGCATCGTTAACGTACTAGTGTGAACAATTAGTACAGGTTTTTTTTCACTGACCGACACACAGAGTGCGATCGCGTCGCAGGGACAGTTCGGTCTAAGTAGGCCTACACCTGCGACTGCCGGCGACGGGTCTGCGACGCTCAGTAGACTGGAAAATTGTCAGTCGCAGCGAGTAGTGCATGTGCTAATTTTGCGACGCGACGCGACTGTTTCCACCCGTCGCTTGTATTGTTTTACCCGCCATAAGCTGCCTTGCGACCGCTGCGACGAGATTCGAATGCATAATAAACAATGCATAAAAGCGAACAATGCAAATAAAACAATCAGTGCATACAGTCATATACACAACATGCACAGAGTATCAAGTCATGTAAACACATTTAGTTGCGCGATCGATAGGCGATCGTCACATCGACCTAGCGCCTTCTGCGACTGCCTGCGACTGCTAGTGTCACTCGCTGCTCGTCGATGTCAGTCGCGTCGCTGTCGACTCACTGTCGCTGTGAGATGCAATGCGTCGCGTCGCGTCGCAGTCAATCGCAACCCGACCTAAGGCCGGCTTTACGCATAATTAAAATTCACACACGACACCGACGACGACACATGAAAATGCTTTCCTTCCGAAGAAGCAAAATCTGGCGAGAAAACGCGTCAAGAAATTAAATGTCCGCCTATAGTTTCCAGCGATACTACCCACCGATATTTTGCACCGATAATTATCACCGATACTTTTTACCAATACTTTCTACCGATACTTTCCACCAGTACTTTCCACCGATACTTTTTACGAATACTTACGAAACAGGGAAACAACTCCACGTACAACAAATTTACAAGGCCACAGCAAATAATATTAATTTAGCGCAATATTCACACAAAAACACGTCCAGAAGCAAACATCGATGCAGCGATACTTTCCACGGATACTATCCATCGATACTTTCCATCGATTCCTTCCACTGATACTTTCCACCGATACTTTCCACTGATACTTTCCACCGATACTTTCCACTGATACTTTCCACCGATACTTTCGAAACAGGAAAACAACTCCACGTACAACAAATTTACAAGGCCACAGCGAATAATATTTAGCGCGATATTCACACTAAAACGAGTCGAGAAGTAAACATCCATGCAGCGATACTTTCCACCAATACTATCCACCGATACTTTCCACCGATACTTTTCACCGTTACTTTTCACGGATATTTTCCACTGATGCTTTCAACCAATACTTACAAAACAGGAAAACAACTCCACGTACAACAAATTTGCAAGGCCACAGAGAATAATATTTAGCACGAGATTCACACAAAAACGCGTCCAGAAATAAACGTCCACGGATACTTTCCAGCGATCCATTCCACCGATACTTTCCACCGATACTTTTCACTGATACTTTCCACCAATACTTTCCGCCGATACTTTCCACCGATACTTTCTGCGTATACTTTCCACAAAACCTTTCGAAACAGGTAAAACGACAACAGCGCGTACAATAGACAGAGCACAGCGAGTTTTATAATTAGCAGACGATTCACACAGACACGGTGACGACATCAGTTTTGCGCAAGAACAACGAATCACAATCACAAGTAATCCACGAGTAGCATCACGAACGAGGATTTCACTGTCGTGCCAGCACAGCGATAAGGTTGAACACTCTAGGAGAATCGACTGAAGCTATACATAATAAACACTGAGATGCTAACGCGGTGAATCGATCCACACACACGCACGCACGCACGCACGCACGCACGCACGCACGCACGCACGCACGCACGCACGCACG